CCCACTGCTTGGTTAAATGCAGAGGTAAATTTCCCCGATGTGAGATCAACAAAGTTCAATTATTATTATTAAGACATTAGAGCTAAAGAAGAAGTTCAGGTTTAAAATGCTAGTCCTTCACAAGGTCCGTTGGAAACAACAAAACCTTCAAAATAAGGCTTGGTGAGAAAAATAAAATCCTTTGGATATCAAACAAGCGAAAGATATTAATTGATCATTCTCCTTTGGAGCTTTAAAAGCTGATTATGTTTGGTAAGGCAAATAAAAAAACATTATGGATCATCCCATGGTTACAGAAAGGGAACCTATTATTGACGAGACGTTGAAACAGAGTGAAAAGAAATTAGTTACAAACACCCTGCCATAGTTTGACTGAGATACTTTGCAGGTGGAGTAGGAACAGTTGCAGATCTGTCTTATTGTCAGACAAGGTTTGGAGAAATGTCTAATGCTCTAACTCAACTGAGTTTGGAGCCTTAAAAATGTTGAAATTTAAAAATGAGAGCAGTCTTGTTTTTGACAGCCATCTTAGATTTAGTCTTAGTCTTCAGGACGAAAACTATTATTAGTCTTAGATGCATTTTAGTCATTACGATATGTGATAGTTTTAGTCGACTAAACCTAAAAAGGTTTTAGTTAGTTTAAGTCAGTTTTATTTATTTTTTTAAACTTTAACCTTTACATTTTTTATAACAATCAGATTCTTTACCAGACTTTTTGAATCTTTGATTTATAGAATTCAAATAAACTTTTTTTTATGACTTAATGCTCTACTTTCTAAAAAAGTGTCTCACAAAAGCTGTTAAAATAGCAGATCTATAGTAGTTCAACACATCATATTGGTTAATATAGCAGACAGGAATGGTTTTACACATTTACGTTTTCCATCGTAAAGCAAACACTTTCTGATCTACTATGAATTATTCATTACACAAAGATCAATAAAATCTCCATAGCTCCAGAAAAGCAAATAACAAAAACATTTTTTGATTGATGCTCAATTTTGGTCTGCGCTATACGCTGTGGGTCTAGATACAGCCGAGGTGGAGAGGAAGTGGGGGCAAGTTTGTGCGACAATGGAGGGACATGAGGGCAAAAAATAGCTGGGATCCAGGTGGAAAAAGGGTCCCAGCGTTCTTGTGCACCTTGCTCTTGTAGCTGGTCAAACTTCATGGGTTGTTTTCCGTAATTGCGGTCATAAGAACAAAACAAGTCGGCCTCCTGTCTGCGGCACAGTCTGCGGTCAGTTACAATTTGGGAGAGGAGCAGCAGAGTGTCTGCGGAGGGCGCTGGGACCCTTTTTGTTTACTGCGACACCTACGCAGACGACCTAGTTTCAAAGTATAAATCAACCTTTAGATTACTACTGGCATGCATGGATCTGCGCATTAGGTTCAACTCTTTCTATCTTTCTGTTTGGAGGTAAACCCATTTAAAGTGTATTACTGCCACCTAAAGGGCTGGAGTGGAAATGTCTGGGTCTTACTCTTGCCAAATGTAACAAAATAATGGACACAAATTCAAACTGGAAGACTTATCCCAGCATCACCTGCATTCAGTCAACTCATCATGCGCCTCTGGTGCAGCCAATCACTGTCAAGTTTATTTCCTCTTCAGCCAATCATCCTGTAAGGTTCTGCTTAAAGCTGTCCATCCACAGACTCTCCTGGTCTTCAGCTGAGCTTTGAATCAACCGGTGTTTCTGACAATCTCAATATAAGACTGAGCGTTTAGCCTAACATAAGGCAGAATTCCTTTTTTTGTTTGCTTTGTTTGTTTAAAATAAAACAATGTAAGAGAAAGGAAAGTGTTTAAGTATATATTGTTCATGAGTGGGGTGAAGGGTCTTGCTCAGGGACCCAGAGTGGCAGTCTGTGGGAGTGGGACTTTAACTCAGAACCTTTAGTTTTCAAAGTGCAATGCCCTAACCACTAGGCCACCACTCCCCCAAAGCAAGCATTAGCATAAAGGGTCTGGTCCAAGGACCCACACTTGCAACCTATTCCCCCCAGCTGGGATACGAACTCAGGCTTCCTGTTTGCAGGACGGGTGACTTACCACTTGAGCTTGCCAGCAGCTAACTGTGCCTGTCCCCCCAAAAATGTTTTTTCCTCTTAGTTTCAAGTGCCACTAAATCACATAGGACATTCAGTTGAACTCAAATGTTTACACATGCCATGTTCAAAACATACAGCGGTTTTTCGTTTTATTTACATCTGATGTTTCTTTTTGCTAGATGGGGGAAAGAAGCGGGATAAATTTTTCTCAGATTTTGAGAGTCTTTTAAACACATCTTTGGTATTTTTTTTATTTCAAAGGCGGGGTGAGCCTTTTGAAAGAACTGTTGCATAGGTATGAACAATCTCATTTTGTATTTCCCAATCCCTATTTTAACTATTTTTTTGTGGTATGTATAGTCATTGTGGTATGTATAGTCATTGTGGTATGTATAGTCATTGATACAGCAAATCGATATTGCTGTATTAGGTTGTATTCTCATTGTGCCATTGTGGACTGAGTCACTCCTACCACCACAGCATGTATCTACCATCTTCGTGTATCACAGTCAGGATGGATTTTTAAAGGCTAGCAAGTTTAGCCTGTATCTCTCTGAACGTCAAAGGGTGTTATGCATAAAAAATTCAGTTTTACCTAAATCAAAAAGCAGATTTTTGTTAACACAAGTGCTTTTGGGCTCCGTAATCTGGCTTTTTATGTTGCAAAATTAGTAATGGCTTCTTCCTTTTCTCAGTAATCTTCCTCAGTGTTTATACTTGCATATAACTATTGGGACAAAGAAAAGTGGCGCCTTTAGGCATCTAGATAAAGTTGAACATTTGTTGGAGTCCATTATTCTCTTACTGGTACATGTCTTGCCAGATTGTTTTTGATCTTCCCATGATGTCATAAGGGAGCAAAATATTTGCTCTTAAAACTTCAGGAGAGTTTTAAAAATAAAAATATTTACTTAAAATTATGTGTTCCTGTAACTTAAATGTTGTAAATTAACCTACATATTTCACATCTAAGCTTTTAACATTTTGGAGCTGTAGTGAAATAGTAAACATAGTGAAAATCAATACTTAAGGAACCAATGGTGACGAAACTGGGTCATGACTGCAGAAACCCCACTTACCTTCTTATTTAGGGAAGAACTTCAGACTGCTGCCTCATCGTATACTTTCATTCATTTATCCACATTATTGTTCACTGTCGGTTATATATATATATTATTTTCACAAAAAATGTTATCAGTGTTTGAAAGACACTAATCTTTTTTGTTTAACAGCATTTCAGTCAGAGACAAAGTGGTTTGATAGCGTTATGGGGCCTTTAGGTAAGCCTTTGAGTAGAACTGTATACAGAAGATGTTTTATAGTGTCTTACACAATGCATTTTAAGAGTTTATGTTTGACAGTTTAGAGTAAGACACTGTTTAACAGCCATATAAGGATTTCCTTAACAGCGTTTTATTTCTCAGGCTGAAGGTCTTGTTGGATATTAAAACCAATACTAATCTAATGCTCCCAAAGCTTTTCTGACTTGTTTTCCAGCCAATATGTTTCTTAGATATTAGAGTGTTTTCTTTATTCATTTAACAAAACATTGCAGGCTCAGTGAGAGGCAAAATTCAATCTGTTTTTCAGCTCTACAGAAACAAAAAAGGAATCTTTTGATTGGATCTAGTTTTGTCTTTTGCGGACAATATTTTCAAGTGATTGAAAATTATATATATATTTTTTACCTTTACACTTAATGTAAACATTTAAGATACATTCACAGTGAATGCAAATTTTGCAGCGGGGTTGAAAGATTCCAATGTTATCTCTATGTAGAGGACAGATGTAGAATGAGGCAAAGCAGAGCGAGGCTGAGAGAGGCAAAGGTGAAGGAAGGCAAAAGGCACGATTTTGATGAAGTTGGCCAAATTGGATCGCCGCGTCACCTGCGAATGAAGTTGAAAAATGTGAACTTTAGTTTACATTCACATCATGAAATCCAGTCAGGATCTAGATCAGGCTGTGAGCTACAGTGAAAGGGCAAATAATGTTGAAAAAGGATGAAGCAGGAATGCTCTCAAGAGGATTTAAGGTGGCTTTTTAAAAAGCTGTTTGGTCTTCTTACCTCCAGCGCAGACGGATGCCTCCTCTCCGCAGCTCTGCTGGTATCTTTGTTGATCCTCCCTGTTACAGGTTTAGGTTATCTTGCAGTTTGGAAATTACTGGGAACTGTAATTGGAACCATGCTTTAATGCATTTTCCTTGATCAAGTGTGTATACCAATAATAGGAGTCTAATTCACCAGTAATAAGACCAAAGCGTTGATGTTACCAAAGATTCCTGACTTTTAGACATTTTAAGAGGGTATTTAATTTTAAAAAAAGGTCTTTCTGAAATCATTTCACAATGATCACATTTATGAGAAGGTATAAAATGTCTCTAAGCATCAGAGGCTGCTTTTATAGAGGAATTTTATATTTTCTAAAAAGAAAGAATAAGCTTGAGAGATGTTTTCACTGTATTTAATTTGCCTATGTCTAAAGAGAGGAATAGAAAGGAGTGCCTGAAAATGATCCAAGGAAAACAAACAAATAGTATATCAGTGGTACTTTACAAAGAACTACTCAGATAAATATAAGCATATGAATAACACGTGAAAAAACTATTAGCAAACCAGTAATGCAATATTTTGCACCTGTAAATATTCGTTTGTAGTTCTTTTGTTTTTCGGAACGAATGGTTGCTTGAGAATTTGAGTTAATATGACTTTAGATTTTTCCCTTAAGACTGGAGAGAAGGATTGTTTTTCCCTCAAGTACTTGATGGTTGGTTTGCAATGTTAATTGATTGAACCGAGGACAATCTAAGCATGTCTTTTGATCATTAATGGTACAAAAACAAGAATAAAAGAGAATACAGTCTCCACAATTAATGAAATTAAGCCTCTTGGTTAATTTATCTAATATGCAGACATTTTGAAACTGTTCTTTTTATTTGCAGGGAGACCACACCTGGGCAACCATGTTGGGACAGAGTGTGCGTTTGCAGCCGGTTCCCATCCAGAGCCTGTCAGAGCTGGAGCGCGCCCGGTTACAGGAAGTGGCATTGTACCACCTGGAGGAGAGGGACTTGGACTTTAAGATTAGCATCCCTAGAGGTATGAGAAGGACAATGGTCTGCTTTACTAAGCACTAGGTCTACAGCTTGTCGGTTCATACATTCAGCAGTTAACAACTTATTTAACTGTTAAACACCTGATTACACATATTACCAGACCCAATTAGTTTATCACGAGATTAAACAACATTTATTGGGATTTCTTGTCAATGAGAATTCTGTTCTGCAATGTAAAATCCAGTTGCTTTAAGCTTCTTATTCCTGGTGAAATAAGTGTGATTTATTACTTCAAGACTTTCTGCTGAAAAATTTCTTTAAAATAGCCTTTTTTATTTGACCCTTTCTGACTACAAAATTGTTTGATGAGCAGACTGATACCTCAGTAGTTTAGCGCAGATGCACCTATAAGCCTGTAGTCTGTTTTCCTGAATTAACTTTGGGTCCGCATGTGAGCTTAAATGGGTCCAACCTAGCAGACAGTCGAAGTGCTATATTCAAGATGGATTTTGTGCATATTCAAAAGAAACCAGCATCCAGCTCAGCTCAGACACTGGTGAAAAGTCTAAGTAAGTTGAGCAGGAGCTACGAGAATGAACAGACGAGTGCTGCAGTTCATTGTTTTGGCCACAGATGGCAGTATCATTAGAAAACTCCATCATGGCTCTTTAAACCTGGAAACATACCTTGTATTTGTTAAAAGGATCTTACATTGAGTCAATATGGAAACTAGTTTACAACTGTTGAACAAAGACCGACTAGTTGTCAATCCTTGTAAAACTATTTAAATATGTTTGTTTGGCATCATTTTTATACTAGATTTAGGATATGAAATAATATTGGTGAATTTTTCAATAATAATATGGCTTGCAATAATTGAACCAATCAAAAAACATTGATGTCTTTCTGCTTTGGGGTAATAGCAAATAAAAATCTCATATAGTAAGTAGTAATTTCCAATAATAAGAAGCTACGGAACAATTATTGCAATTCAATATTTCGATTTGAACAGTTTTAATGTGATAACAGAAGATTTAGAACTTTTACCACTTTACGCATGTTTTACCTTTAACAATCCTGTAATGATTTTTCTTACTATTGACAATATCTTTGTTGAAACCAAAAATTAGAGGCACAGATAATCCAAATGTGTGGTACTTAATTCGTTATCTGACTTTTATATTTGAATAACTTTGAAATTTGTTTAATTATATTGTAAATATCAAAATACTTCCATTGATCAAATTTGAATTAGATGCATCTGCTCGAAAGCAAGATTTTATGTAGCGCCATTTTGGATTAACAATTGAGTTTCTGAAGGGATAGGGGTTAATGACCGAAGGAAACCAACCAATATAAAGGGAGAACATGCTAAGTCCACACGAAAAGGCCCAGGCCCTTCTTTCTTTGAGGCAACAGTGCTAACTACTGCTGTATTAAGCTACAATGAGAAGTAAAGTTATGCCATTGGTGTTTATTGTCGGTCCAATGAATCCGGAAAACAAATGAAACACCTTTTGACCCTGCAAGGCAGATTCCAACCATGGTGCTGGGATTTTTTCATTTATTGGTATCCAAACATGGATTGAGATAGTATGTCACTTTCTTCTTGAGAACAGGGGTTTCTTTGCTTGACCTCTGATTTCCATGGAAGAAACCATCATCATCCTTTGGGATAGATTGCCAGGAAGAGGCTAAAAAGACAACAAACAGTATTTCCCAACAGTATTCCCAAAATCTCATCCGGTACTATATCCTATTCCATGCATCCTGCTTGTGAGCTCTATGAATGTCAATTCTGAGTCAACCTAATTTAAAGCCTTTTGGCCCACTGGAAGGAATTGGACCATGCAGAGGTCAAATGAAAAACCCAAACATTTTAGCTACAATGTTAATTGCAGCCAATTATTGACATGATCAATGTTTCGGACTGATTCTTGCTTAGTTAGATAACATTGCTCCTAGAATAACCTTTTCCCGACCTTCTAGTTCCATCATCTATCCCATGATAAACAAAGCTTAAACCAATCTGTAACGCATCACACGCTTGATTCATCCTTCCAGTTTTCCTTTTGTCTCTGGCCTGTCTTGTGACTTTGAGAAATATCTGTGAAATACTTTCAATTCAAACGTATATAACCCAAAGCAGCTTACACATTAGAAACGCTACACTGGGAATGTCTGGGAATTGTTCAGGAAGAAAATCAAGTCTTTTTACCGGTTCAGGCGTTTATTTGTACTGCATTCCTCTGCTTGATACTCCCTGCTTTGAAGGATTGTTTTTGCGGAACCCCTTGATCCGCCTGAACTCTACAGAGCTAAATCCATGTGATAATGTCAAATAGTTGCTCCAACAGTCTTCTACCGTGTTTTTCCTGTACACCTTGTAGACGGGGAATGTTTTTTCCTAGGTTTTATTGAGGCCTGAGGGGATGGAGTCCACAGCGGTAGATGGTTTAACTGGTTGAAGGGTGGGGGGAAGCGTTGGGGTGGTATCTGCATGGTCTCTCTCTCTCTCGCAGGATCAGAGAGCTCTTAAGCTGATTTTCTCAGACTCCAATGTTTTCTCAAATAATTGTTCTCTCGCAGGGTAACTGACCTCTAGATCAGCTCAACTTTGACCATTCCTCTATTTGAGGTTCAGTTTAAAGCGGCTGAGCTCAGTTATACATCTTCCTCCTAGTTTGTGGGTTTTGTTAGCATCCCCCAAGGAGAACGATCAACCCGGTTCAAATGATTTCCTCTGTGCGTTTACAGAAACAATTCCTAAGAGAAAAAAGAAACTGCAGCTGCTCATGTTTACATCATCTCTGGGAAGGGATGAAATGAATTCTCTTCAACCTGCAGCTTTATTTTAGTAAAGTAAAACAAAACAAGAGTTGGATCAGAAATTTAGTACCGAACAAATAAAAGTGCAAATAAATAAACTGGAAGCTTCCTGCATAAATTTACACCTGAACTCTGACTGACCCATTCTAGCACATTAATATGTTTTAAATGTCTGCATTGTACGTCTTGCTGGATGTTGTTTTGTCTTCTTGAAAGAAAAAACCTCCAACCGAGTCTGACAGGTTTTGCCTGTATAGTTATACATCATTGCTCTCAGTTCGGCAAATTCATTTTCCTAGCAACACAAAAAACATCGCAAGAGTGTGATGCTGTCACCATATTTCTATATGAGTCATCTGTTCAGAGTAATGCAAAGTGTTTCTATGCCAACCATAAATTGGATTTTTGGGTCTATTTGAACAAAGCCCCTTCTCTCACATGTCTACTTTGCCCTGAAAATCTCTTAGAAAAAAACAAGACTTATTGAGGATCTTTTTGGGACAGTGGATCTCTTTCTACCTTTCCCACGGTGACAGACAGTTGGCCTCTCAACAAACTCATACCTCTGTATTTAAATATAACAGGTCAGGACAGAAATCCATTCTGTATGTATTTTAGGTTTAACATTTCCTCAGAATAACGTTTTATATTTTGTTATGGAGACATTTGATCCCAGTTTAGGAAAATGTGAACATGTAAGACAACCATTCAAGCCTGAAAAAAGGACTTTCCCACTGGCTATTTGTTCATTTTTCAGTCTAAGACAGACGCCTTATCTTTGACCTTTCAACAGGAACGTTTTAAAACATCGTCTGGGTGACCAACTATGGCAAACCTTTAGAAAAATCCAAATAGACCAAAATAGTTCTCTGGTTTTAGAGGCTTTTGTTTTCTCAAAGATGTCCAAACTGATTAGGTGACAGAATGTATGACTCAGGGATAAAACAACATCCCATAAAGATTTTATAGAGTGAAATAAAACTTTAAAAAGATCACAACTTTATTCTTTTGTTCCTGCACACAGTTTGTGTTATATTTGTAACATTTTAGGACTGAATAGTCTCAAAACTCGCTTTTTTATTCTAATCTTTTAAACACTCCAACAATTTAAGTGTAAAATATTTACTTAGTTATGTTTTACTATATATAAATGTCTCCAAAATCATACTAAAATGCTAATGTTAGCGTCTTACTTGGAAATTCTGTACAAGGTTATTTTACTGCTTCTTTTTCTTTATTAAAACAAAACCAAAAAAACAAAAAAACAAAAAAACAATCTCTGATGTCTGATAATGGTTGAACAGAAGTTAAGAAGTAATTTCTTCCTTTTTAATATATATTTATAGATATATTTCCTTTTCAATAAATCTGCATGTATCTTTAGGTTTTAACCAATATCAATGAGCTAGGCAGAAACTTATAATGATTTTTGATAAAGAATATTGTCTAAATATTTCAAATGACCAAGTTCTAAAAATGGAAAAAAAAATCTTTTTTTTTTTGTTGCAAAATTATTATTTCAAGATTAAATAAACAAAAAAGGTTATCTTAAAGCTCATTTTTTCTATACCATCTCATGGTTTTAATACTTTTAAATTAATAAATTTTTTGTTTTATAAAAATAACCTTGTTGAAGAGATAAAACCATAAAGGACTAACTATTTGAGAATGATGAGATGTCCTTAGAGTCTGAACATGACTGCTAAGGAGCTAAGTGGGTATACAAATATTTATTTAAGGCAATCCTACAGCAGACATGGTATAAACTTAAAATGGACGAGCATGTGCGTCTCTCTCTCTTCCTGTCAGACTCTGCTCATTTCATTTTCTGGAAATATTCTCATTTCTTACGCTTGGCATTGTTTTGTTTTCACAAATCTCTGAATATAAACTGATGTATTTTTTTCTAAACTGTAAAGAGAAACAAAATCAAGGGAAAAGAGGATGCATCACTTGTAATTTCCTGTTTTTGATTCACTTCCATGGCAACAAGAAGGTCAAGTAGTTAATTATACAAAGCACTGGAAAAGATAAATCAATCCTCTTTCAGTTTAAGTATATTAACTGATTGTCTAAAAGTGGGACTACGTTTATAAAAATGTCAGATTTCTGCAGTGTACTGGTGTAGTCGTGCTTCTGAGAGATTAATTTAACTCTCTACAGCCATCAGGACAATTAGAAAAATAAAAAACCTGCACATGTATAAAGCTACTG